CAAATTTTCAAAATATATATACACACATAGAAATTATAAGCTTACATAAAAACACCCAAAATGTTAACTTATATTATGCATTCAGTTTCTCAAGGCAATGTTAATAAACAACCTCATCTCCACTACTCAAGGCAAATAAACAAACCCTCCTTTTCCCTCTCCTATAGTATACAACCTTAACAATTTTTCCTAGATTAGTAAACAACCCCTATCACATCTAATAAACAACCTCCCACTAATTTCCCCTAGACCACTGAACAACTTCCCACTAATTTCTCCTAGGCCACTGACCAACCCCCCACTAATTTCCCCGAGACAACTGAACAACCTCCCACCCTTTCTTCTGACGTCTATCACGTGCTGTAAACAACCGCCCACTATTTTTCCCTGTAACTCTAACAGCGTTCTGCTCTTTTTTTTCCTTTAACTTAGTAGCCAGCATCTAACATATGTAGTGAACCAATCTTATTCATCATTATTCAACTTCTATCCCTTCCTGTAAATGTGAATTTTGTATTGTTCGACTTTCACAACTCGAATCCACTTGGGAAGTAACGTAAGTAACTAAACTCGACCACACACCAACACAATGTACTTGTATTGTAAGTCGGTCCTGAGGGCAACCTTCTAGCTCCAAGCAAGTCTTGTGCACACCTGTGGGCTGAGCCCTATTCGATCCTCAGGCAGGAGAGGGCAGTTGTTATCCCTCCCCCAACTGGTAGCCAGGCTAGCTTGTGACAAGACCCCTCCAGAGTGGTGGAGCTACTTTTTGATTGGTGGCTTTGTAGTGTGATGCGAACATTCTAGTTGCTGATCTCAACGCTCGCGCCATCTGTGAAGGGTGTGTGTGCTTGCTGTTTCTATAGCTACAACGGTCAATTGAGAAAATGCATAGCACTCACAAATGTTTTTTTTTTTCAAAAAACATCGGCACCGGGAGGTTTCACATAACCTCGTAGTTGAAAGACCCTCGTAAAAAAACTTCTTAGTTTCTTCCCATTTAGACTAGTAAAAAAAACATCCATCACGGTAGTGAACAACTTCCCCCTTTCAGCTTAGTCCCATAAACTACTTCACGTGCAGTCACCTCTGACACTTTTTTCCCTGGTAACCTACATCCATCACGTAGCGTTAAGAACCTCGCTCTTTTCCCAACAACTATCCGCACCCCTCCACCAAACTACCTCGCCATTGGTTTCCAAACGTCACTGATTCGTCTTCATCGTGTCATTCCTAGGCGGATGAGGCGGGGCGATGCGTTGCCGTCGCCGTTTCGACCAGTGGTCCGGTGAGGCGCTCGGGTCGGAATGAAGTCCAGCTCAAGGGAAGAAGAAGAGGAGAAGAAGAGGAAGAAGAAAAAGAAGGTGGTGGCTGATGGGAAGCAGCGATGACGGCCAGGCTCGCCACGTCGATTTTGGCCGGCTTGCTCGCCTCGCTCGCTCTCCTGCCCACCGCCTCGCACACGGCAAACACCGACCCACGCCTCCTCTACAATTCCTCAATCGCCTTCGACACCGGGTAAGTCAAAAGTTACACAATAAAATTACAAGTGGTGGGTTTTTCTCTAAACTAATTATACTTAATTTATTTAACCCTTCTCTTCCTAAACTCGGCTTGTCTGGGGGTTGTAAGCAATTCGGCTAAATTTTTCCCAGTGTTATTAAGAGATTAATTGTAATTACACTCTTGTATTTCACCTCTGAGAGGGGGTTCAATATTAATTAACCCTTTATTAACAAACAAACAAAAAACTTTTACAAGGTGGGGTGGTTTTAATAATTAATTTAGGGTTGTATCGCGTTAATTAGAAAGGTTTTGAGTGCTGTCTGCTCCTCGTTGTCCACCTAGTCCATTATCTTCACCCTTCTGTCCAAAATTTGTGGTTTATTTCGATTCGAGTTGGAAAATAACGGCTCGACCTCGAGTCTAGGGTTCCGTTTTAACTTAAATTATACACTCGGACATAGGTCGGTGCCAAGGCTCCCCGTCAAAAGTTGAAATTAACGTCTGTAACCGGCTAGGGTCTGAATCCATCCCCCTATTAACTTTATTAACTTCTCACCCTCCGATCCGGGGGCTAATTGTGTTTATTCTTCCTCGGATCTGCGGTGTTTTTTTGGGCCCGCCCGGCCTCGCTTCAGCCGTAAATTTCCGAATGCGGGAAGTTTTCCAATCAGGCTTTTGAGAAAGGAACCCGAATTAAAATCCAAGTGAAGGTTTTTGAGAGGCGTTCAAATCTCGACTGTGACGTCAACAGTGAAATGCCGTAAAGCAAAGCATAACGTCAACGGTGACAGTCTTCCATCGAAAATCTGAAACGGTTGGAACGTTCCAACAGTAGCTGACGTCAAAGGTAAAAAGGAGTTATGCGAAAACCAGAAATAGTTGGAACTGTAGCTGACGTCAAAGGTGTAAAAGATTCAAACGGAAACACCTGAAATAGTTGGAACGTTACTCTGGATAATTTTGTTGACCAACGAAACTTCACTTTTGATGGTACCAAACGAAAACCTGGAATTGTTGGATCGTATCAACTGTTGTTGGAGTTTAAAGATGATGTACTCCAGAGGAATATAATCACCGGAGTTCCTCAACACATTTTTACTGTTATGGACAGTCATAAATTATAGATAAATCGTCTCCTGAATGGGACGCTCGGAAATACATTTTATTTAACATTCTATCACTAGGAAACGTTGTTATTCTTTTAATTACCAGACAAAGACGTGGTGGCTCTGGAAGTAACCAGTATTAAACGAAAAGATGAGATGGCTTCACACGAAATCGACTGAAACAGTTGGAACTTTCAACAGTTAATGATGTCATAGGTGAAACGGCGTCAACTACCTGGAACTTTTGGAACGTTTCAACTGTTACTTACCTCGATCAATACGAATCTTGTTTATACAGTGATTTGAAATTATCGGAACGTTGCAACATTTAGTCCCATCAGCGATAAAACTGGCTGTATAAACCATTTGAACAGTTGGAACGTATTCTTCGAAACGTCGAAGGTATAACTCTTTCACCGAAAACAGGAAACTTTTGGAACGTTTCAACTGTTACTTACCTCGATCTAATACGAATCTTGTTTATACAGTGACTTGAAATTATCGGAACGTTCCAACATTTAGTCCCATCAGCGATAAAACCGACTATATCAACCATTTGAAAGTTGGAACATATCCTTTGAAAGACATCGAAAGTATAGTTCGTTATCCGAAAACTTGAAACTTTTGGAACGTTTCAACTGCTATTAACCTCGATGACGAATCTTGTTTACACGGTGATTTGAAACTATTGGACGTTCCAACAGTTAGTCTCATCAGCGATAAAACTGGCGTTTTCGCCTAATTAGTTAACTGAAACATGAAACTTTTGAAACATTTCCACTGAGAAGTAGGCCTTATTAAGTAGCGCACTCTATTTTTATGATTTCGACTAATTCGTTCGTTTTAATTGGGTTCTAAATTTTAAAACTTCACAATGTTTAAACTTCCAATAGTTGAATATTAAAGTGGTCGTTTCGGGCCAATCACAGGGCCTTCACCTGGCCTCACTTCTTATTCAGTGGATCGCTCAAAACAAAGAGTCTACAACAGTTTCTCGCCTTTTCACTGCAGGGGGCGGCCGGCCGGACCCAGTTTGGAATAACTGCGGTTCGAGGGGGGTCTCAGGCGAATCGATTCGGGGACGGATCCCACCCCGTGCCACCGCCTCCGCGAGGGGTGAGACGCGATCCTGGGTGCCTCCTTTTCGGATTCCCGCTTTGTCCTTGTATGGGGTATCAGGCTGGAGGCATCAACCATTTTCGTCGACAAACAAGCCCGTCGAGATTTTTCTCTACCCCCACCTCACCCTCAAAAGGACAAAGAATCGATCGGATAATGAAGCGGCTGAAGTGTCTTCCCCCCGGATCGGACCAGAAAAGTTCAAGTGGTCATTGGAGATGGTTCGCGTCTATTGTGCAAGCCCGTCCGGAAACCACTTGGAATCCAATTGAAAGAGAAAAACCAGAGGGTGCTGGTTTTATCTGTCTATATCCAATTGCAATTTTGTGCTAAATCTTACCTCTACAGTAAGAAACTATTTCATATCATTCAAATTTTGACGTTATCTAATTAATTATTATCAAAATCTTAAGAAAACCACCATATTCTGGTGAATAAGTCAGAAAATTTAACGGTGGAACGTTCCAAAAATTTCAGGTTTATAGATGGCATTTAACCTTTTTCAACCTCTGAAACGTTCCAACTGTTCCAAATAGTCGATTCAACTATTTTTATTATCTGAAAGCAACTAAATAGTGGAACGTTCCAATAGATTCAAATCATCGTGCCAACATGTTTCGGCCTTGACGTCAGTGACCATTGAAACGTTCCAATAGTTTCAGGAATTCATTTGACACCGTTTGACGGCATTGAAAGATAAAACCTTCCAAAAGTTTCAGGTTTTGTTTAACACCGGTTCACATTTGACGTCGACCAATTTTAAATGGCACATTTGACTAATCCAGATGGTTCATTCATCCAGCTTTACCTGAGAGTATTAAATGGTGGAGCGCTCCAATATTTTCAATTAACCGTGTTTTGCGTTTGGCGTCACTAAGCGTTGAAACGTTCCAAAAGTTTCAAATTGTCGTGTGGAGAATTTCCTCTTTAGAGTCGTTTATGCATNTAAATTTGCATTCAGTTAGTTTCGAACTGGTCTTGAAACAACACCTGTGTTTAAACTGTTTCTTAACCCGTCTGATATTCCAGTTGTGTAAGAATATAATACATTATGTATTTAAAATGTATGATTGTACACAACGTTAAATAATATTTTTATTGCAGGAAATATCAATTTCTTTTTTAATTGTTTCATTCTTCCGTTGTTTTGTTTGATTTAGTGTATTGTAAGTTTTCGGTGACAGACATTGCATGTAGTGAATTATTTAACTAATTTATTTATAGTTTTTTTTTTTGTAGAATATAAGATTGATTCTTTTGTTAGTTTTAATTGTTTTGCTGAAGTCTGAAATTATTTTAACGGTAAGATAAACTATAATATATATCACTGCTATTATAAAGTATTCATTCTAAATCTGAAGTGTTTCATTTTTTGCAGCTCCATCATGCTTTGTTATATGTGTGGACGTTTCTTCAAAAATAAATACACTCTTGCGCGACATGAACTCGCATCCTCATGTCGTAGAAGTTTCAATACGGCCGTTAATTTGTCTTGTTCGAAATGTGGAAGAAAATTCATTCGTCGAGACAATTTATTAAGACATGAACGAAAAATTTGCCGTACTTCTATAGAACATCGAACATTGCCCGAATATATGGACACAGAGACCTTCAACAAAATGTCAAGCGAGATATGTTGGTCATGTGGAAAACTTACCAAAAGAGATAGTGAAGAATCATATAATGAATGCAAATGCAACAGAGACAATATTCATGAAGCGCATTGTGATACTGAAAAGGAAGAAAGTGAAATGGCCGAAATATTTGCATGTTTATGCGGATATTGTGGTTCATCGTTTGCCAACGTCTACACATGTATAAGACATGAAGAAGAGTGCATAGAAAACTTCCTGGAAGAAAGGTCCTATAGATGTAGTAAATGCGGACATGCTTTCTTCCAATCGAATAAGCGCGAAGAACGTGAAAAGCAATGCCAAAATTTATTTTTAATGTCATGTGGCAAAGAATGCAATGGTGTTTTCCATAGTTTCCACAATCTAAAAAGACATGAAGGATTCTGTGGAAAAAACAAAAATAAAAGACTAAAAGGTGAGCCTAATAAAGCTTCTCTGTTGGCCGACCGTGGCACCGAGTATGAAACAGCATGTGAGGGTAGCCTGAAATCTTACTTTTTACGATCACGTTTCAATAATGATATTAATTTATTTTTAAATGATATTAAAGAAACAATATGTATGCATATACAAAATGCATTACAAATATTTAAGTCATTAAAAGTTAATTTCGTGTTGGAATGTGTATTCCAAAATTCAGTACACGATATTTGTGACAGATCATTTAAAACACGAAACGTTGAAGTATACATCACTAGTGATCTAGATTCGTTTCTCAATGTAGCATTTAATAAACTAAAGAGAGAATTGGAAGAAGCCGAAATGAAAAAAAGTGGGTGGTTTTTGGAAGCGATAGACGGTTTGAGAATTAAAATTAATAAATTCAACCCCCTGCGATGTAATAGCTATTTACCGTTGCCGAAGAAAATCAATAATAGAAAAGCATGCATAAACGTTCAAAACTCTGATTCACTCTGTTTTAAATATGCCATCCTAGCGAAATTAGTCCGCAAAAACCCTCACAGGGTTAATAACTATAAAAACCTATCACACGGTTATAATTTTGATTGCGTGGAATATCCCGTCCACATCAAAGATGTATCATTGTTTGAAAAAATTAATCACATAAGTATAAATATATTTGGAATCAATGATAAATCAGATGTGTATCCTATAAAAATTGTTGACGAAGAATTGGAAGATCATAGGGATCTGTTAGTCATTTCTAACAGTGAAGGGACAAATCATTATGTGTTTATAACGAATTTTGAAAGGTTGGTGTCCTCTCAAATTTCCAACCATAAATCGAAAATATTCATTTGCAAGCGCTGTTTTCATCACTGCCCGAATAAAGAAAAATTCAACGGTCAGAATTTTTAGGGTCATCCTTCCACAAGACATAGAATTTGTTGAATTCAAAAACGTGGAAAGGGTGTACAAACTTCCATATGTTGTATATGCCGATTTCGAATGTATTCTCAAGCCAATATCCGATTGTCAACCGAATCCCAATTATCGATACACACGTATGTGGAACAAACACTCACTAATGAGCTTTTGTGTATATTTGAAAATTTCGGAAGAAGTAAAAAATGAAAGTAATGATTTACCACACTGTCCATACCTATACAGAGGTCCGAATGCCGGGGAACATTTTATGAAATACATTTATGATTTGGCTGTTAAGGTAGGAGACATCTGCAAAAATCAGAAAACTATGATACCCCCTACTCCTGAGGAACTGCTAGCCGCTCAAAATTCTAATGTTTGTTGCGTTTGCGGTAAACAAATTGAAACGTCTGACGTATCAGTCTGTGATCACAATCACATAACGGGTCGTTTCAGGGGTATTGCCCATAAAAATTGTAATTTAAGAGCAGTTGTACCAAATTTCCTTCCAGTGATCATTCACAATTTGAGCGGTTATGATAGTCATTTTATAATAAAAAATNAAAAAAAATATACATGAACAATATAATTTCTTATGATAATTATCAGTAATATCCTAAAGTATTAAATTTAAATAAATTTAAAAAAAATAATTTTCTCTTTTTTATATATAACCTCCTAATAATTTGTTTTGTAAATTCAAAACTAAAGATTTCCTTTTTTACAATAAACGTTTTAATTAAAAATAAAAAAATTAACTTACAATCAAAATATAATTATGAATCAAAAAATTAATTTTCTCCCTTAATGAACAAACAAAATAGATCCTCTTCTCCCGAATGAGTATTTTTTTTATGGCTCACCGTTGATAAAAATGTTCACTTATTTTGGCCGATGTTCACGGTACTGCGATCAGCGTAAGACTCCCTCTTCTGTTTTTCTCTTGATCCTGTAGGTCCAGTAGGGCAGCGTTGATTGACCTTCGTAACAGTTGTATTGATGTTATTCTTCTATTGTGTTGACGTATTGATCGTATTTTGTTAATATATATTTATTGAAAATGATGTTGTTGTTATGTCTATTCGAACCTTTTTATTGAGCTCTTTCTGCGGAAATACTCTAGAACCCATGATGAAATGACAGTTGAAAGACATAGCATCAGAATGTATAAAATGGATTGATGATATGAGTTTTGACTAGTCTAAAAGATGCGTTTAGTGAAGGAACACGTGACTCTGGCTTAAGTAAGATAGTAACCATCAATTAAAGAGTACCGTAGCAGGAGTACTTTCCCCTGATAGTGTAAGATGTTTAATATCTAGACCGTCTAATTGCGGGAAAACACATTTAATGCTTAATTTATTTTAAATACAAACGGTTTATCATTTCAAAATGTTTTTATATTTAGTAAATCGCTGTATCAGCCAAAATACCCTCAACTTAAAGTAGTATTCTCCAAATTAAGTGAAATCGGTCTTTATCTGTTCAAAAATAATGACGTTGTCCCCGCAGATAGAAATGTATCTTCAAATTAATTTTCATATATTCACTAATTTCGTGGCCCGCTTGACCAATTTTCATCTCAACTAAAAACCTTAATTAATTGTAATTAATTTTCATATTCGATGATATAGCTTGTGATAAGCAGGATCGGGTTAGATCTTATTTTTGCATGGGACGGCATAGTGGTATAGATTCTTTTTACCTATGTCAAAGTTACTCGAGGGTCCCAAAACATTTAATAAGAGATAATGTCAACTTACTTATCATTTTTAAGCAAGATTTATTACATATGAGAAGGATTTAGAACTCCTGAAGGAATAAAAATGGCTTTTGAATTTCTGGAAAAAGTTGGTGAGACTCCATCTAAGTACGTTATGAAATTTTTAAATAATGACCTAGGAGGGTTGAATCAAACTTATGGGGTAAGTTACGATGGAAAATAATTTACAATGGGTGACAGTATAGACACGATTGGAAATAATGAATTAGAGATTGGGGAAGAAAGATGCATCGCTACACCGGGACTCATGGAATTGATATTCATGAAAAACCCGAATTTGACGTTTGTGGATGCTCATGATAGAAAACATTATAAAAATATTCTAACGCATACGAACGCTCACAAAAAACGTTACAGTAGCAGTGCAGATATAAAATATGCTATTCGTACGCATCCCAAATGGCCTGTGATTTCCTCCATGTTTAAATGCTAGCCTCAGAAGTCAAAAACGGGGCTGCCTAAGATTCCGCAACCAAAACGTGGCTTCGGGGTAGTAGATTTCAATCACCTAATAGAAAGGTTAAAAATTTTATTGACCTCTCGTGACCAGATTAGTAAATCTGAAATAGAATTTATTGAAAATAAACTTCAAAAAGCTCGGATAATAGTATAAAATCCCATATCACATCGATACTGATCATTTCCTCATTGGTATCCACGTAACAAACATGTCAGAGTTAAAACGACAAATCGGAAAAGAAATTCATCGAGCCGCAAGAAAAAATTTCAAAAAGCGAAAAGTAATATTGAAGGGAATCGACGATTTATGGCAAGCGGATGATAGAAGTGATACCTCACAGTAACCAAAATAAAGGTTTCAAATATATATTGGTCGTGATTGATTGTTTTTCAAAATATATTTGGGCGATGGAAGTAAAAAGAAAATCGGCCAAAGAAATAAGCGGCGCGTTCAAGAAAATCTTACATTCATCCGAGGTTCGTGTACCAAAAAATTTACAAACCGATCGAGGTAAAGAATTTTACAATAAAGAAACAAAATCTCTGTCTAAAAAATTCCATATAAATCATTATTCCACCTTCAGTAATATGAGGGAATCCATCGTAGAACGAGCGATTAGAACCTTAAAAACGATGTTTTGGACAACATTTAGCCTCCAAGGATCTTACAAATGGTTACAATTGCTGCAATCGCTGTTCAATGAATTCAACAGTAAAACACATCGAACTATAGGCATGGCACCGGCAGCTGTAAAATTGAAACCCATTTATTAGAAAATATTTTCGTTTTAAAACATAAAATTAATAAAAAGAAAAGAAAATTCAAAATTGGGAATCACGTAAGGATATCGAAATACAAAGCAGAATTTAGTAAAGGTTACACTCCCTGTTGGTCAAAAGAGATCTTCAGTGCCGTAAATTTAAAAATAACAATCCTGTGACGTATATCTTGATGGATTCAACAGGCCAGGAAATAGCAAGAGGGTTTTATCAAGAAGAATTACAGCTGAATATCCAGACAGCTACTTAGTAGAAAAAGTCATTAAGAAAAATAAAGGAAAAGCCCTAGTAAAATGGCTCGGTTTCGATTCCACACACAATAGTTGGGTCGATATGAAAAATTTAAACATATAAAACAATCGTTTTTTTTTTAAATATTTTAATCAGTTTGTGTGGAACCCCCAACGAATGAACATGGCCCGAAGACGCAAATCTAAACGAATAACTCCGAAGAAAATCGGTGGTTGTAAATTATACCCTTTGTCGAAGAAAGCGAAAGATCTATTACGTACTTGTCCAAAATGGAGCCTAACAAATTTTGACATTTCTGGAATAGGTCGTTCAAATAAAATTTCGGGTTTTAGGGGTGTTTTTATGAGAAATAATCTGCCTAAGAAACTGCGTACAAACGAATGTGCAATATTTAATTTGGATAAAAGTCATCAAAATCACAATGGAAATGTTAAATGTAGAAGAACGTCCAAGTTTCGATGAGATCATAGAAGGTATTGAACTACATTCACATTAACAGTATGCATTAAATTACAGCCTGGTGATGAGATTAGAATCACTGTTCAACACCAAGATATTTACACATTGCCATGTGAGAGTTTTCTCTATTTAGAAGGGAAATTTTTAAAAGAAGACGGATCGGGTGTACCAGCGAATGGTAAATTAACTCAGAATGCATTCGCTTTTTTATTTGATGAAATTAGATACGAAATATGTGGAACAGAAATATATAAGATTAAAAATCAAGGGATTTCAAGTACTTTAAAGGGTTTATGTTCTATCAAGCGTGACGGCATAAATGAAAACGTTGGCTGGATCTCACCAGGATCTAAAACTCTAAGTTTGAATTCGAGTGAAGGCCATTTCAATGCTTGCATCCCATTACGATTGCTACTCGGTTTTGCAGAAGATTACCAAAAAAAGATCATCAACGAGAAAAAAGAGCTCATACTGATACGGTCCAGAGATGAGTCTTTCATTTCAACAGATAATTCGGAAAAAGCGAAAATAGAGTTGACGAATCTTTCTTTGAAAATTACTTGTCTCTATTGAAACGAATATCAAAGACTTTTAATGTTGAAGTATTTAAAAAAGGAGAAAGTTATATCTGTACCATTTAGAAGCTGGGAAATGTACGAACCCGCTCCTTCCTCTGACTCAGAGGTGGTTGGGGGCGGTTAAAACTTCTACTCAAATGGAAAAACCTCGTTTCGTAATTTTGGCATTCCAGTTATCTAGAAATGCCAATCCAAATCCATTCATTGGTGGATTCAAATAAATTTGATCATTGCTGTTTGACGAATGTAAAACTCTACTTAAATTCAAAATGTTATTCATATGATGAGTTAAACATACATTTTTCAAATAACCAATGCGGAATGTTATTCTATATGTATAAAAATTTCCAAAAAAATTTCTACGCTGATTCATCTCCATCCCCTCTACTTTCATTATCTCAATTCAGAGACGATGCTCCACTTATCATAATCGATTGTGCCAATCAGTCCGAATCCATAAAAACTGGTCTAGTACACGTGAGGCTCAAATTCGAAGCTAGTAAACCGTTTCCTTCTGATACCACCGTTTTTTGTCTAATCATACATGAAAAATAATAGAATATAATCCTTTCACGAATATCGTACGTAGAATGGTATGAATTTATGTACTCAGCACATTCGATTCATTCGCCATCATGACTTCAAACAGAGCATGTGTCGTTGAAATGCAATGCTTTGTCGACAGCACAAATGCATATATTATAAAAGAATTGTCAATTTTAGATTTGGATCACTTTTCAAGTCAACATTGGGTTTTCAAACCTCCAGAGGAATGCGAACTAAACGTGTCCAGTCTTCGAGTAAATAACTGGCTCAATCGGAATTTCCATAAAACAGAATGGGGAGATTTATAAAACGAATTTATGAAAAAAAAATTATTAAACTCAACTGCTGCTTTGTAAGGACGTACTGACCACCTTTGTTAAAACATCTGTGGATAAAGCAGGGATCGAACCCGCGACCGTCAACGAAAGAATGGTACCACATCTCTCACATCAACGTCTCCACGATGTTATTTTAATGCGATAACACGGTAACTTCTACGAATTGAGAAATCCATACAAGCGAGAAGTTGCTTTTCGACCTCTAATAAAAGCATATTTCCTACAGATGTGAATGATGATATTTATTTTATTAAAATTAGCTTAGCTATTTTTTAATTTTAGTTAAATGACATTTATTAAAATTGTTAGTTAAAATTTTTAGAAGAGTTTAAAAATTCAGTCGGAGTTGGAGATATGA